CTCACTGCCCCTCTAGAAGTCCTATTTCAGATCCAGATGCTGGGAGCACAAAACATCAAGCAGGCCCTATCGCCTTATCTCTTTGCCACAGCTTAGGGTTTCCTAGCAGGCAGACACATAGGCACCTTCCCAGGGAAGCAGCTGGCACACTGGCCCTCTCCTTTACCAAGGCAGGCCCTGGAACATCCCACAGGGCCATCAAACCAAATTTTCCTTTGAAGTTGAGAGAAAGGGAGGAGAGAAAATAGAATGGTCTTATCGTCTAGAGTCACAGACCTGGACTCCATATGTATAACTGCCTCCTTCCAGATGGGCCACCAGGAACCACTCCATTGGCAGCTCCATGCTCTTCTAGGATCTGTAATAGCTCAAGAAAAGTGGATGCTCTGTACTTAAGAACTGAAAAGGTGATAGGAAGGCAAAGAGGCAAGCTCTGGCCTGCCAGGGCCCTGGCCCCATACCAACAAAAATTGGCACAGACCAAACTATAGGATGCCAATTAACCCAGTTATACAATTTCCAAAGTTGTAGGGCTGGCATAAATAATTGGCCAGTAGTGAAGGGCCCAGGGAATGAGGAACTGAAGAAACCAACACTGCTATTCCAGATGTTTCTCTCTGGGCCTAGCTCAGATCCCTGCTCCCATAACAGGAAGCCAACACCCACGGGATCCCAGAAAGCATAACTCCTCACCTCATCTGGCCTATAGACTGAGCAGACTGAGGCTGGGTGGGAAACTTCAGCCTTACGAAGCCAGTCTTGACAATTACATGGGAAAAGGAGAAGGTGGTCAGGGACCAGCTCTCTCATGCCATCTCCCTCAGACCAGGTGGCCTGATATGCAACTTCTAGCCTTCTTTCCCTTCCTGACCACCTCCTCTATGCCACAGAAGTGACACCAAACAAGTCTGTTCTTCCTACCCCAAAGTAATAGGAAGGATAATATCACTCCTCCCACCCTTCCCTGTTAAGAACACATCTTTTGGCTCAGTGCCTGTAGCTCAAGTGGCTAAGGTACCAGGTAAGGTAGATACACCAGAGCTCGCGGGTTCGAATCCAGCCCAGGCCTGCCAAACAACAATGACAACTACAACCAAAAACTAGCCAGGTGTTGTGGCAGGCACCTGTAGTCCCAGCTACTTGGGAGGCCGAGGTAAGAGAATCGCTTCAGCCTAGGAGTTGGAGGTTGCTGTGAGCTGTGATGCCACCGAACTCTTCTCAGGGCGACAGCTTGAGGCTCTGTCT